GGATTTATTCACACCGTGAATATAGCGAATATTAACACCGCGAGTTATTTTCCCCCTATACAGTATACAGACTTAATATAGAAATGATTTTATCGACTTTCTCAATCTATCATGAATTTAAAAATGTAAATATAAGCATTTAATTGTAAATATTAAACATTTAGCATCTCATAACCAGAGTTGGAAATTACTGACTGCCCGAGGCAGTCTGTTTTTCAGGTAGGCAGGGACAAACTTTAGATTAACCTCGGTGGTCGGGGTCATTTAAACAGGTAGTTCCTGTTTTCCTCCTTTTTTTTTCAGGGTATAGTAAGTCTATAGAAATTAAGTAAAATATAGTATATCAAAGGAACACTTCTAGTTAAAAATATGAGATGACCTATAGGACCAATATTGGTTACTGTCTTTAGAAAAAGCTTACCGATATATGTTCCGGTCACTGACTTTAGGCCACATGTGTGTAGTTTCTTGTTTCTCATGTATTGCTTTAGTTCTACATTAATGGTAATCTAACAACCAAGCTTTAAGATAAACGTGATGACTTTAACTTTTCAATCGTCAACTTCCCTTACTTATTCAGCAATATACCTTCATCACCTGCATACGGGGTTTATATCTCTCAGTTGATTCGATACACAAGAGCATCCACTTTTGCCGAACTTCTTGTGCTATTTTACCCGAGAAAAAAATCGAATGAAGTTGTATAGATACCTGTATCCATAGTGATCAAACTAAGAAATTTGCATGCTTGCGTTTGAAATAATACAATAACTATTAACATTAGTTCCTTTAAATTTTAAAATGAAAAAAAGTGTATTTAGGTGGCTTTCAATACCAGTACCATTGTCTTGCATGAATGTTAAAAATGTTTGACACTTTTATTTATGATGACATTTTAACGACACTAAACTCTCCTAACCATCCTGTGTTCCTAAAACCAAATACATACAAACTTCTCTATGTGGCTTGACTTCGATATAATGATACAAAACGTGGTTATGTTTTACAGTGAACATCTTTGAGGAATGTTTACCTGGGTAGAACTCACGTGACTACCAGTATTTTAAATAATTTATTCCACGGGTGGGTTCAACATAGGTCATACAGGTAAATAGCTCTTGCTTGTTAAAGGAAAAACATTGAACTTTTCATACATTTTTAATATTTTAAGTACAAGCCTAATCATGTACAAATTTCCTACTTTCACACAAGTTTTATAAATGTATAATGCATTTTTTGTCAATCGCACAAGTTTGTACAATGTTAGGCTGACAATAAACAAAAGCTTTGAAATGAATGACCGTCCTCGATTTACTATAAAAAATCACGAATTTCGGCTGACCCCTACCACATTGTATGGCTTTGCTCTTTGTATATTCATGAATTTCAGTGATAAAATTTGTTGAATCTTATGGTTTAGATATCAATTAATGATCTGAGATGGAAAATTATGCTTAATTTAATTCTTCATTTTGTCACATTTTACCGGGGCCCATAAGTGCACTCGTTCTTTAGTGTTTATACAGGTAAAAAGTTTGAAAAAATAAAAATGTGCCAACAAATGGTTTCGAACCAGGACACTAAAAATGTTCATGGTGAGAGTCTGCGGTCTATCGTTCTGGGCTATGCTGACTATGAGGACATTTGTAATAAATATAAACCAGTATGATTGAAATAGGTTTTCACGTTTTTTGTAGTTTTTTTTTCTATGAATTTCGACCCTAGGCACCGCTAAAAGAACCTTGTTTTAAATAATTGCTTACTAGATCAAAATCTATCAAAATTTCATAATTTAATTTAGGGGCAGGCAAAGGGTGATTATATTGCATCCATCGGGTATAATTTTCTTATCAGAAAATTGTAGAGATATGCAAAGTTAATTAATGACAACATTTATTTTTCCTTTTTGCCTAATACTTTTATGATTTTCACTAATAAATTGATTATTGAAAAAAAGCCTTTAATATGACTGCTGATTTTATCTCCATCTGTTAATTTTCAACACCTTTTCTCATGATTATAGTAGATAGAGAACAGATTATGATTTCTAACATTTACTAGCTTTTACAGATCATTTCCTTGAGATAGGTGGAACCAACAGTCAAATACAGACACTTTTTAGAAAAGTAAAAATCTGGCTCAGGTTAAAAAAAAAAAAAATCATTTACAGTTTTAACAATTAGTAATTTTACCTTAATTAACTGGAAAAATCTTATTTGACGAAATACAGGTCAAGAATGAAGAGTTTAAAGCCTTAAGTAGGGATTTTGGTCACGCAGGTAGGTTAGGCTTCCCGTAGAATATCACAGTGCACTCTGTGCCTTCACATCTCTGAACTACCAAAATATGACGTCATAATGGAAAATGACGTCAAGTCACTGAAATCTTGAGGTGTTATGACGGGGAGAGTGTCATGAACTTTACACTTTATTTGAAACTGCATGTAAAATGCTAGGTAGCTATTGCAAAATTCACGGGTCGTTAAAGGTTTTTTTAAGTCGTATATGTCAGAATATTTTAAAAATACACCGCTTACCTACCCTTGATTGAAATTCAGCATGTTCAAAATGCTTATGAAAAATATACTTTTGAAATGTACTCTGTTTTATACCCGTGGTTGGAGGTAGTCACCGTAGAATTTATTTAGTGTGTATAAAAGAGTCTGGCGCAGGTGAAGAATGAGGATTAATCTGAGAATTTTTGTTGAAATCTGTAAGAAGAGGTTGTTCTCTAACTGAATCTTGCTTGGGAAAAATGTGTGTTGGCTTTGTTTTAATACAGATTACGATATTGTGTGGAAAATACCCTCAAATTTGTAGGTAAGTTGAATTTCTCTGGAAATATTTTGTATCTAAGTAATACTATGACTTTTCCCAAGCACATTTCGGATACACAAGGATACGATGAGCTTATTTTTATAACAAAATGTTAATAATTATTGTGTAAATCAACTGCGCCGAAGTGATTTATATGAAACACTTCAAAAAATTATAAATGACCGTCACGTGATCAGCAAAGTCATGTGATATCATAACAAATATGTTAATACATAGCCGAGGAAATCCTCTATATAAATTGGAAGTACTTAAGTTCAATACTTTTAAATTAAAACTAAAACCAACCTCGCAATGACATATTATGTTTTGAGCCCATTTTAAAGCTTCGGGAAGCCTAAACATAGCTGCGCAATCATTACAGGTAATCTGCAGGCCCTCTCGAGAATTTTACACTCATATGGAGACGCCACCACTTGCCAGTGGAAAGCTGCAAATTCTGTCCTATACTCTGCACTCATGGCCATTGAGCAGTGAGGGGTCTTTTCATGCCAGCACCTACTGTGACACTGGACCTTGGTTTATAAGGTCTCATCCAAAGGACTGGTCTCCATGTCCCACAGTGGGATTCAAACCTGCGACATAAGGATCAACTCCTTACTTCGCGACTCTAGAGCAGACGCTCTAACCATGGCGCCACGCTTGTTACTAGCTCAGTTTTAAAGAAATCATTCAAGATATTTTTTATCAAACTTAATGTGCTGATACATATATAATTAGTAAGACCTATTCAACTATTTCAAAAACTTTTGACCTTTCCTGTGACCTTGACCTCACTTTCCTTCAATTTGCATTTTGCATGGTTTTAAAACCATTTAAAATATTGATATCTAAGGCTATGCATCTATACATAATTTGGTGAGAATTTATCATCTATATCCATTTTTTTTAGATTTCAATTTCAATTTTAAAGAAACTTTTCAAGATATTCTCATCAAACTTCATACACTAACACAAAATTTCATGTTGCATTACTATACACTCGGCAGGCATACATGTCCTATGGACATATTTCTAGTGTATTGCTATTTCTGTTGTTTGTTTACTTCCGGTCAGTAAGTGCCCTCTAGGGGCAAGCCCCAGTCCTGTTTTCTTTTCCAGGGTTGCAACAGTGCCCCCTAGAAAAACAAGTTGCACCATCCAATCAAATCGTGTTTTGTGCTGCTTTATGCCAATGAAATTAAGGCTGGACAGCATATGTATTATATTCTGACCAATGGGGTTGCCGTATTTTCAAATAATTAGGATAGACTTACCACTTCAGCATTCCTTTCATCACTGAAGTGATATACATGGTCAAAAATTGACTAACTTTCATTTTTGTGTCAACTGCAGAGCAGAACGACACTTAGAGTTCACTTTACCTGGTGTCTGTCTGTCCGTCTGTCACACCTTATATCTCCAAAATTTTGAGAGGCAGGGTTTTGATAATTAGCATTTATATATGTTTTTGAGCTCATGATACTATACTTTGAAACTGTATGAAATTCAGTTACCACACAAACTTATATTTAAATACTATGAAAATACATTGGGATCAGTATTCCACAATGAATCGTGTTGACTGACAAAGTGACAATTAAAGTAAAGACAGTCTGAAATTCCTTTCCTCCGAGGATTGTTGGAAGCACCTACATGTGTATTAATAAAATGATAAATAGTTATTCCTCATAATTTCAATTAAATTATTCATTTGAGGACTGGGGAACCATATTTTCTTTGATTGCCAGATTCTATCCCAGTCTTTTACTTTTGGATCCTTTTTTTCCTTGCAGGCAAATGCATGAACCTCCATGCTAATATTAAATTAATAGCTGACCACTCTTAGATTTATTTACCTCTTTAATGACGATACCTAGCAGGTGACATATACATTCCTTGAAACACTCTAGTTCCTATTTGATTTTCACTAATATAAAGATTATTGAAAATTAAGACTAAGGTGCTCTATAGTGATCAGTCTATTCATTCATCTGTCTGTCAAATACATATATCCCATGTTCAGAGTACAGGTGACTCTAAATACTTCAAACTTTATATTTTTTAATTAGATACATGTAGCTGCTTTGGAACATCTGAAAGGTCTATTACATTATCACTAGTTTTACTAGTTTTCTTCATGTAAGTTGAATATATTTTAAACTTTTAAATTTTTATTTTTTCCAGGTAAGAAAGAAATTCAGGAGTTCTTAAATTGCCCTTGGAGTTCTTGGATTGCATCAAACTGCTAAAAGACCTCAACAAAAACAGCGTCTTGAAAATAAAAATGAAAATATTCAGTGAAAAAAAAATGATGAAAGAGCCACTAAAAATCTTCAAGCCTTTGAGCTGAAATCTGGAAGTCAATCTGTGGACTTTACTAGTATGTCATAATTACTAAGTCATCATTTGTGTATAATAAATACACTAAACTGTAAACACTTGTTAAAATGTGTATAATTTTTAGATATAATTTGTAGCTCACAGACTTCAATAGTTTCATGTAATGTAAGTAATAATGAAAATTTCCTGTTGTCTAGCTAGATTAGAAACTATTATTGTCCAATTTTGGATATTGTGAAATAATTCATCTAGTATGCATACATGTGTGTACACTTACGTGTAAATTAATTGTTATAGCAAATTCAATCGATCATTAAGTTGAATGTTGACTAATGTTTTTCATCAAAATTGTTTACACTGAATTGTTTGTGGATTTTTCCATTTGCCCAGTCATGTCAAGGAGCACATGGCAGGAAATGCTTTCTCCTCCATTGCACCTGGTGTTTTTAGAGGTCTGTGTTTGCTCTGCTCTAATTATGTATTGTTTCAATGGACTTTAAAGCTTGATCACTGTTGGTAATCTTCATATTTCATATACTATTAGAGTACTTGAAGAAAACTGTAAAGATTTAACATACAGTATAATGCATGTATATTGCACTTTAAGTACAGTGTATGTGGTTAAGAAATGTTAAATCGTCTCATAGTGCATTGAATTTGTTGAAAATTAGAAAATGTGTTGAATTTTTTTTTAAATAATGTTAGATTGCAGATTTTTTTAAATCATGCAAGTAAGAAATTGCTAAATATTTTTTAGCTTTTCTGGACAGTCTAGATGAGTTCTTATTATATACCTAGCATTGTCATCCCAGTTAAAATTTAAGGAGCAACGTTCATTCCTAAGCTCTACCTGGACAAAATTGCATGGATTAAAGCACATTAACAGATTTACTTCAGATGCTTGACCTGATCTACATTTTCCTCATGTGTTTTTTTTTGTTTTTGTTTGTTTGTTGTTTTACATCCCTCTCAAGAATTTTTCATCCATATGGAGATGCCACTACTTGCTGGTGGAGAGCTGCAAAATTTGACCTATACTTTGCACTCAGGGCCTTGAGCAGTAAGGGATCTTTTTTGTGCCCACATCAACTGCTAGGCGGGACCTCAGTTTATATGGTCTAATCTGAAGGACTGGTCCCCACAACCCCAGTGGATTTGAACCTGAGACTTAAGGATTAAATCCTTACTCGCGACTCTAGATTACAAACTCTCTCCTTTGCGCCACATGGGGGACTCCACAAGATTAAGTGTTTTGAGCAGTCCTATTCTCATGTAATTATAAACTCTATGTTGAACAAACCTGCAAAGATGATGTATGTACATGTAAATGTTTCAGGGTACCAATCCTTGATTTGACTTAGATTTTCTGGATTAATGACCAGTTTTTTAGAGAAGGTTCATTCAAAGTAACAATATACTCTTTGGTGATCAGTAAACATAAACAGAATAGTAATGATCCATTTAGCTGATACTAGGTTAGTGTCACATTGTACTGGTATATCATGTATACTGAACTGTAAATAAGAAACAACTAAATAGGTAAAATCACAGCATGAATCATTGGATTATGTAAGAAGTGCACTATCTTGTGCTTTGGTATGGTATTAATAATAAATGTTAAACTATCATTTTTTTTTTCAAATTAACAAAGGATATGCTTGAGTGACTGTATTTTGACTAGCAGTAAAAATAAAATGATTTTTAAGCATTTGAATTATTTTGATTCATGGTCTCTGCAAGTTTAATGATAGCAAATATGTATTTTGAACATGGCATCCACATATTGCTATACTGGATGGGGCATAACTTTTACTGAATCTTAATCACAACCTTGAAGTTTTATGTAGTACATGTACTCTTGGTTTCAACTGGTCAAATGTATTCTTAAATCAGAAAGAATTTAAACAAATATAGGCATAGGTCAGAACTTCATCAATTAGTTGGAAAGCGAATGCACTCAGTGACTATATGGTTTAAAAGAAGCTTGGTATAAATAGCAGGAAAAACTACTTGAAGTCCACTGTGAACTTTGTGTCCTCAACAAAACAATATGGAGTATACTATACTTGGTTTAAAGAATAATCTATGTCTGCATTCACTTTTAGGTTAAACTGTTTTGGGCATTGAGAGTTTGTTGTTTAACGTCCCTCTGGAGAATTTTTCACTCATATGGAGATGCCAACACTTGCTGATGGAGAGCTGCAAATGAGCTATGCTCGGCACTCAGGGCCAATGGGCAGTGAGGGATCTTTTTCATGCCAGCATCTACTGCGACACTGGACCTCTGTTTGTACGAAGGACCGGTCTCTACGTCCCAAAGTGGGATTCAAACATGTGAGAAAAGGATCAAGTAACTCCACGACTCTAGAGCATTGGCTCTTTCCACTGCACCACGTGGGCGACAGCATTGAGAGTTAAATGTGGATATCAGAACAAGCTACTCTGGGCTTATACTCTCTATATATTGATTGATTGTATGTTGTTTAACATTCCTCTCAAGATTTTTTCACTCAAATGGAGACACCACCACATGCCGGTGGAGATCTGCAAATTTTGTCCTATATCGGCACTTACGGCCATTGAGCATCGAGGGATTTTTTTCGTGCCAGCACCTACTGTGACACAGGACCTCGATTTATACGGTCTCATCTGAAGGACCGGTCTCCCCATCCCACAGTGGGATTTGAACCTGCGACGTAAGGATCAACTCCTTACTTCGCTACTCTAGAGCAGACGCTCTAACCACTGCGCCACTGGGGCAACTACTCTCTATTTAAGTCACTTGTGCAATGATAAACTTTAGTTTAATTCAATGTTTTGTACTGATCATGTTGAGTCACATTAGCACAAATATCTTTCTGCTGACCTTGACTTATGACCATCCGCAACTATTCTGGTTGGAAACAATATGTTAATTAATGCATAATAAGTGAAATTACTATGAAAGAAAAATGGTCTACTTAAACCACAAGTTATATTTATAAAAAATATACACTGGTCTCCTTAAGTCATATGAGAGAAACATAAAATATTAAGGAGACCATTTTTTTCATATATTTTTAGGAGGCATTTATTATGAAAAAATAAAGCAAGAGTCGACTAAATGGTGTTCTATAGATCTTTGATCTGGTATTTCTTTTTAGAAAAAAGCAAATTTAAAAAATTTGTATATTGTCTCCTTAAGCCATATATAATGGTCTGGTCTCCCTAGTCCTTAAATCAGAGTTATATATATATATATATATATATGTGTGTGTGTGTGTGTGTGAGGGTGTGTGTGTGTGTGTGTGTGATGGATATATGCCGAATACTGTTCTATATGTAAAATTATCAGACTGTTTGAGGCCCGTTAGGGCCGAAAACAGTCTGATAATTTTACATATAGAATTGTATTCGGCATATATCTTACTTAAAACATTGCTATTTAAATGTCCAAAAGTTACCTGGAGGAGTCCAATAATTACACAATAGGAGTTCAGGCATCAATAGTTTTCTACCTGAGACCATCTAATAAGTAGACAAAAGAAAAGAGAAAGTTTTTTTTTCTTTAGACAGTAAAATCAGTGAGTTAACTCTTTTGTTTCATTCATTCAATGGCAGTCGTTTGGCTTAGCAGGAACTATGGACAGTGGTCAGGTGATGAAGGATTTTTTTATGATTCAGAATTTTTTTTTATTAAGTGCGTTTGACACTGATACAGATACAGTGTTGGATGATATCTTCAAAATGTATTTTGAGTAAAAATGCGGATTTTTATCTAAAATTTTGATTAGATGATATAATGAAAATCTTGGGTTTTAAAATTGTGGTCATTGGCGAACAAACCTCGTTAAATGAAGAGATTCGCAGACTGGTTCTCTATCAGAAATGGATTTAAATTGGCTTATTCACAGTGCTGTATCGAAAACGCTTTGCAAAAAAAAAAAAAAAAAAAAGAATGGAAAGTGTTACTTTTGAAGAAGGTTAAAACTCCAGTTTCTTCTTGGATTTGCTATTTTTAACAACTTAATTTCCTCGCGTTCGCTTTCTCTGAATTTTTTCTCCCTAACTTTTTTTTTGGTTTCTGGACAAATTAAACCTTGATTTCACTTTAGTTGTTGTTTTTTAACTACTGTCCGATTTTGTTATCACTGCCGTCCGATAATATATTATTGGACTGCTAATTATTATTATCGGACGGCTACAGGTAAATTTTTAGACTGCAAGAACAAAGGCATGACGTCACAGCAATGTTTTATATATATATATATATATATATATATATATATATATATATATATATATATATATATATATATATATATATATATATATATATATATATGGTTCACATTCTTTTAATTTTAAATTACTGTTCTTTGAATCAATAAACTACGTACATGTCAGTAGTCAGTGCACGATTATTTATTTGTTTTTTTTTCTCAAGTTGATGTGTGGTGTATTTTATTACTAAGTATGTAATAAACACAATAAAACATACCCTTTTCCACATCACATCCTTTATCAGCCATCGACCAATATCAGCCATCGGGCTGATATTGGTGTCTCGGGCTGATACAGGATGTGATATGGAAAAGGGTATGTATCACTCTCTCTCTCTCTTTATATATATATATATGTAGAACATTCTATCGTTAAAATGATACATGTATTGTCCTACGGACCCGGTTTAACGTTTTCGACTGATACATAAAAAGAGTCTTTTTATGTATCAGTCGAAAAAGATATATTTATAAACAGCTTATAGAGAAAAAAGGGTTAAATTATCGATACAATATAGTGCATATTAGAATACAAAAATAGGAAAAAGGTGACTTGATCCCAGATTTAAAAAGGAAAAAAAATGGAAAAGAGGGGGGGGGATACCCCAAGTGCCTGTGTATATAACCATGATTATAGCTCTTTCAGGAGCGGCTCCAGTATAGTTGTGAAAATGTATTTTCGTTGTGGTTGGGGTCCATGTTTTCTATGGGGGGTGGGGGGGTCCAAAGTCATATTTTATTTGTTTCAGTATATACTTTTAATAACTGAAAATTCCAGGGAGGGGGGAGAGGGTTCCCAGACCCCCTCTAGATCTGCGCATTTATTTGAAGATACAGATGTCTTGGTATTAAAGGAACTTTTTATAATTAAAATATAAAATGGTATAGAATTTCATGCATAAACATAGGTAATCAAAGATTACGAAGCTCACCTCGACGAATGTTATCTACATGTAAAGCAAATTTCACATCATATTTTTTATCTAGTTAGGGTACATCCCAAGATCAATATCCATGCAAGTTTGATTTAATTATAGACCTGCTCAAAAAACTTTTGACCTGTTTAGTAATCAAGAAAATTTTGGTCAGTTCCAACATCCAAAGCAAGTCTGGAAGTTTTTATCCTTAGATGCACCATCTATGCAAGTTTAATCATAAAAGGCCATAATATTATATAGCTACTCAAAAAAAATTACCCTGGTCACTCATCTGGAAAATGTACGTCAGATTCAGAATCCAAAGCAAGTCTGGAAGTGTCCATCCCTAGATACAACATCCATGCTAATTTGGTTAAAATATGGCTAAAATTCACTCATGTGGAAAATCTAGGTCAGATCCAGCATTCGAAGCAGGTTGGTTAGTGTACATCCCTAGATGCATCATCCATGAAAGTTTGGTCGAGGTAGGGCTTATAGTTACTTGGGAATGGGACTACTCCTAAATCTATACCTGGTCTCACATGTGGAAAATGTAGGTCAGATCCAGCATTCGAAGCAAGTGTGGTAGTGTCCATCCCTAGATGCATCATCCATGCAAGTTTGATCAAGTTAGGGCTTATAGTTACTTAGGAATGGACCTGCTCCTAAAACTTTAATTTGGTCACTCATCTGGAAAATCTAGGTCTGATCCAGCATCCGAAGCAAGTTTGGTCGTGTCCATCCCTAGATGCATCATCCATGCAAGTTTGGTCCAGGTAGGGCTTATAGTTACTTGGGAATGGACCTGCTCCTAAAACTTTAACCTGGTCACTCATCTGGAAAATCTAGGTCAGATCCAGCATCCAAGCAAGTGTAGTAGTGTCCATCCCTAGATGCATCATCCATGCAATTTTAATCCAGGTAGGGCTTATAGTTACTTGGGAATGGACCTGCTCCTAAAACTTTAACCTGGTCACTCATCTGGAAAATCTAGGTCAGATCCAGCATCCGAAGCATGTGTGGTAGTGTCCATCCCTAGATGCATCATCCATGCAAGTTTGGTCCAGGTAGGGCTTATAGTTACTTGGGAATGGACCTGCTCCTAAAACTTTAACCTGGTCACTCATCCGGAAAATCTAGGTCAGATCCAGCATCCGAAGCAAGTGTGGTAGTGTCCATCCCTAGATGCATCATCCATGCAATTTTAATCCAGGTAGGGCTTATAGTTACTTAGGAATGGACCTGCTCCTAAAACTTTAACTTGGTCACTCATCTGGAAAATCTAGGTCTGATCCAGCATCCGAAGCAAGTTTGGTAGTGTCCATCCCTAGATGCATCATCCATGCAAGTTTGGTCCAGGTAGGGCTTATAGTTACTTGGGAATGGACCTGCTCCTAAAACTTTAACCTGGTCACTCATCTGGAAAATCTAGGTCAGATCCAGCATCCAAGCAAGTGTAGTAGTGTCCATCCCTACATGCATCATCCATGCAAGTTTGGTCCAGGTAGGGCTTATAGTTACTTGGGAATGGACCTGCTCCTAAAACTTTAACCTGGTCACTCATCTGGAAAATCTAGGTCAGATCCAGCATCCAAGCAAGTGTAGTAGTGTCCATCCCTACATGCATCATCCATGCAAGTTTGGTCCAGGTAGGGCTTATAGTTACTTGGGAATGGACCTGCTCCTAAAACTTTAACCTGGTCACTCATCTGGAAAATCTAGGTCAGATCCAGCATCCGAAGCAAGTGTGGTAGTGTCCATCCCTAGATGCATCATCCATGCAAGTTTGGTCCAGGTAGGGCTTATAGTTACTTGGGAATGGACCTGCTCCTAAAACTTTAACCTGGTCACTCATCCGGAAAATCTAGGTCAGATCCAGCATCCGAAGCAAGTGTGGTAGTGTCCATCCCTAGATGCATCATCCATGCAATTTTAATCCAGGTAGGGCTTATAGTTACTTAGGAATGGACCTGCTCCTAAAACTTTAACCTGGTCACTCATCTGGAAAATCTAGGTCAGATCCAGCATCCGAAGCAAGTTTGGTAGTGTCCATCCCTAGATGCATCATCCATGCAAGTTTGGTCCAGGTAGGGCTTATAGTTACTTGGGAATGGGACTTGCTCCTAAAACTTTAACCTGGGACGCCGACGCTAACGCCGACGCCGACACCGACGCCGACGCCGACGCCGGGGGTATAGCATAAGCTCATCTCGACTTCGTCGAGGTGAGCTAAAAATGGTGGTAGGTATCAGTGGCCAATCTTTTTTCCCAAATATACGAAGCAAAGTGGCCCTATCCCTAGATTAAAAAGAAATTATTGTGCATTCATTGTTATATGAATATAAGAATACTAAAGCCAGTACAAAAAAAAACATCAAAATGAAGCAAATACAAGAAAACTGGTTTCAGTCAGACTGGTACTTAGCATAGCACAATTTAGCTTGCTACAATAAGAATCTGAAACATGGCCTAAGAGGCCTAATACTTTTTATAGAACTAGTACATGGTCTTATAGGCCTCATACTTTTTTATAGAACCAATAAAAAAATGTTTCTCAGAGAGAGAGAAGGGGGGGTCTGATTTGAAAATACATTACATACTGAAGACATTAGACATGAAAACACAATTTATTATATGGTGATCATGAGTTACTCATTTAAAAATTACATTCGTAACATACATTCAATGCCTAAAAACAAGTTTTCACTATGTATGTATTGTTGGTCTGCATCATTTATAGCAATAGACATCACTTTCATCCTTCTTTCCACTGTACAAGTGTTTCATACTTTGGCAACTACACATTCACTTTCGCTGCTCTGTTATCATTCACTTTCTTTCAAGGCGAGATACTGTTTCATTGATTCTTCAACTGTGACTTTCAGAACATTCAAAAAGGTCAAACTATGTAAAAAACAATATAACAATAGCCATTCCAACACATGAAACTGCTACATAGGGACTAAGTCTTTCTCCTATCCGTGCACACTTCCAAAATATCCCAAGAATTCCTGTTTTATTTTTGTCCAACAGACGTGGGGCTATGGATCTAATGTATGCACATGTGCATATAAGCAACAGAACAACTGTCAATAAACTTTGAAAATTAAATAATGCAGACATTTTCCCTGTAACACAGACTACTTCCGGTTACGTGTCTTTCTTTCTTAGAGTAACTTCCCTTGTGCTATTTTGAGGAGTGATGGGTCTAAAACGTGACGCAATATCCCTCGTGACTTTACCAATATTAATTCGCAGTTATATTACATTGTTGGAAATACTGCTATTAACATATAAGGTATATACCAAAGTATTTAATTTTTTTATTTCTAGAATTATATTAATATCAAAAGAAACTTTAAAGAGCATTACTTGCACTTATCGACAATCTGCTTACGAACTACTTTGTTTTGTGTATGAATTTGATTGTTTATATCAGTGGTCAGCCATTTTGTTGACAGAGGAGAGGAAAACTATTTTACGCCTGAAATTTCAACTCAAATTACAGCAATCATGAAGTGGGAATACAAAGAAGAACATCCTTTTGAGAAAAGAAGAGCCGAAGGCGAGAAGATAAGAAAAAAATACCCAGACAGAGTGCCCGTATGTTTTTTTCAATTAGGGAAAAATAATGTGTCGTAATGCAATGCAATGTCAGAGGAAATTAAAATAATGTTATGAATAATTGCAAAATTTTATCATCCTTCTGATAAAAACTAACTTTATGTATGTCATGTGAATTTAATGCATGCGAGTCTCAAGTCTCAAAGTCCGTAGAATGTCTTAATGCGCAATCGAAATGGTTCTGCTTTCCTAGGGTAGTCTTTCTGTTTGTTACATATTACATGAGCATGGTTATCTTTATATACTTAATAGATGTTATCTGGCATCCATGTTAATTCAATAAGATATTCTATATGACAAAAACAAATTGTGTGTCTTAAGTTTTTATGCTGTTTTTGCTTTGTCAGCAGTTTATTTTTATTTTATTTTACAGGTCATTGTTGAAAAGGCACCAAAGGCACGCGTGGGAGATTTGGATAAGAAAAAGTATTTAGTTCCTTCAGATTTAACTGTTGGTCAGTTTTATTTCTTGATCAGGAAGAGGATTCACTTGAGACCTGAAGATGCCCTGTTTTTCTTTGTGAATAATGTCATTCCTCCGACCAGTGCCACCATGGGATCCCTGTATCAGGTAGTCTATTTAAATAATTTCAATGAGTGGTAGGATAAATGAATAAAGAACCTTTGAAAATAATAATAAATCAATAGAAGGATACTTCTGAAGCAAAACTGGCATTGTTTCAGATCTATAACCTATTTTTCAGGCGTATCACTAACCTCAAAAAGTTTATTTAGCTGTCAGTCTGTAACCCTGTTTTCTTGTCTTTCTCACATTTTTTTTTTACTTTTTTCTGCAGAATCAGTGAGTCAATTCAATTTAAACCTGGCATAATGCATCATTTGGCACATGTGATCCAAGTTTGTTCAATGAGGGATCACCTTCCTCTGAAAGGAGGGAGGACAATTAAGAAATATTAAAATAGGACAGAGTCATGTACCAGTATAAAAAAAAAAGTCTCAAGAATCAGAAAGGAAAAAAATGTTGAATAAAAGCATTTTACCATATATAGTCTATTAAGTTTGTTCAGATTATGTCCCCAAGGACTTTCAAGAGGCCAAACCAGGGTTTGATTCATTGAAACATCTGCATAAAAAATGTAAATTAAAGTTTTCTTCTAAAGAACATGAAAACCAGAATTAATGATTTAAAAGGCAAGTATCCCTACAGTGTATAGAGGTTAGGATTAAAGCAATTATGAATGTGATTAAAGTCCTTCTAAAGACCAGGAAAACTACAATTGGTCATCATTAAAAGGCAAGTACATGTATCCCTATAGAGTATAATTTTCATATTGTAGTCCCAGAGGTTAGGATTGGATTACCCTAAGAGGACAAATTAAGCTTTATCATGTTTATATAGGAATATTCTAGGACAGAATTCTTCTCATGAACTGCCAGGCATCAATTAAATCAATATTGATTTGAAGCATGTACTATAGTGTCATAATCAGGCATTCAAGAAAGATAATTCATACAGATTATTTTAAAAATCATGAAATTAATGAATTGATCTCTTCACATCAAATCAGTGGGACCTAAGTGCCATTAGGTTAGAGCTTTAAGGCCTGATGATTAAACAGGGACCATTATACAGGGTTATTTTTGCCCCTGCATATTTTCACCCTTTTAGACTTGCAAACAAGTTAGCTGCATTTTAAATTAACCCAGACAGAGTTTTGTTAAAAGAGATAATGCTTTTTTTCTTGAATTTACCCTGTTTTTAATTTGCCCATTTGCAACAAGGATCAAAGGGTCAAAATGAAACAGGGAAAAAATTTCCCTGTAAATCAGTATTCTTGTAAAGAGCAATGTGTGTTTACCTACATGTTTCAGAAACTTAGCAGAAGTAAGATTGCATAACTGTACAAGGAATAAACATTTACTCATCTTTTATGCATGAAATAAAATGTAACGCAAAGTGGTTTGTCATGTATTCTTGGAAAGTTACCATGATAATGATGCTTTTATAGATTGTCTATACATAATGATACATGTATTACCTAATACAAAGATAAACAAATTGTACATTGCTCATTTTTCCTACAGGAACATCATGAAGAGGATTTCTTTCTTTACATCGCTTACAGTGATGAGAGTGTATATGGTGCATAATGTTTTCAATGCTTGGTGATACATCAGAGAAATTTAAATGGTTTACCCACTGGACTTATGAGAAGTTTATACATGTACTTGTTTACAAAGCTTTTCAGTGCGACCTTGTACATTTTGGTTGCTATGTCATAATTTGCATCAGGTGAGAATACAGGCAAAAACAGAAACTTTATTCCATGGTGTCACTTGTTTGCTTTCCATTGTTAAATGTGTTGAAATAATTATTAACTGTTACAAATAATTCATCCTGTTAACTAGAGGTAGTATTTATATTCAGACAAGCATTTGTTTGAACTCATCAACATTTTTATGAAAAACAGCAATTTGTACCAATTTTTGTTAGGAAATTTTCAAGATATGAAAAACTTTATTTTCATCATCATCTTCTGATCTTTAAGTCATTTTTATGACTTTTTTTTATGGTAAATTTGGTGTTTGTTTAATGTACATACTTTTATGTTTATTATTTTTATTAATTGTATTATATGTAGAGTGTAAATAAAATCACAGAAAAAATATCTTGAATATGTTTTGGAGAAAAACAGAACTACTTTTTCATCGATATCTTTGAGATGGCCTGCAAGAGGAAGTAAAAGCATTATTTTTATACTATCATGGTTGAAAAGTGGATGGCATATAGTGATGAGGGTATCCGACCTTCTTTATCCTTATCATTTGGAGGTACGCTTCCCTTATCTGCAACTCTTCCTATAGCACTGAATAAAATTTAATGCGACTTTCACAGAATGTTTTTTGCAAAGTGCCATTGTGATTTCCTATTTTATGTTTCGATATGACACATACATGTATTTTGTGCTTCCCATAGTAGACCTGGACACTGCCATTCTTTCTATAATATTGGGGTACCCATCTCATATCCACAACTCCTCCTATACAACTGAATAAAATTTAGTGATACTTTTACAGAACCTTTATTACATAGTGCATTGTACACCACTGTCTTACGTTTCCATTGGACAGATACTTGTGGTTCATGGACACTGCCATTCTTCCTATAGTATTGGGGGTACCCATCTCTTATCTGCAACTCTTCTTATACACTGAATAAAATTTTATGAAACTTAGTGCCATTGTACATCACTGTTTTACATTTCGATTGTACAGATCTTTTTGGTTTCCCATAGCAAAACGTATGGTAGCAGGGTTCTCATTTTGTGAGCTTAGTGCTTACAGTACCTTTAGCTGAAAGTGTGAAAGACATGGTGACACTTTACAGTCCCCCCCCCTCCCCATTCTGGGTGTGAGATTGGCTTGGCATGGAGGTCCTGACTGTCAAATAGTAGTGTCCTAGCGAGAACTTGAGGATCTAAAAATTTGAAAGGTTTCAGACTAGATCATGTATAAGTTTAATCTCAAAGATAAAGGTAACTTAGATACACAGTAAAAAGGTGTCAGGATTATAAATGGAACCTTTCAAAAGAATGTAATGTCTAACCATTTTAATTCAAAGGGGTCAATGTTCGTGTGCAACAAAGTTTTACTTGATTGAGTGGACATTATTTTGTTGGCAATTCATTTAATGTACAGAAAATTTAATGAACTGATGATATATTCATGGTAAGATTTCACGGGATATAAATTGATTAAAGGATGTATTCATTATAACAAGAGAACTGACCTGTGGGAAAGAACAATTTTTCTGGAAAAGTCATATTTCAGTGTGAAAGTTCAGTAGTGAATGTCTATCGTATGTACATACGCATGTCTAAATATTTTTAATTTGCATATTAAAGCAAAAATTGTTTATTTTGAATTTTAAAATTTACACTCAAAGTTAGCTAAAACAGCATTTCCCCAGTTTTAGCACTGAATTTTGCAGGCCTAGAAGTCCTTCAGCACAGTGCAGCATAGCACATTTAGTTGAACTTTTGATTCTTTACCCTCGTAACATTTTATTAGTTGTGATTCGAATCCACCTTGTGCCACACTTTCTTTTAAATTTTTTAAATTCTCATCTTTTTTGTTTATTTTTTTGCTTAATGTCCCTTCTTAAGTCCTAGAATTTTCACTCATATTGAGATGCCACCACTTGCTGGTCGAGGGGTGCAAATTTAGACCTATACTTGGCACTTAAGCCTTTTGAGCAGTGAGGGGGCTTTTTCATGCCAGCTGAACTACTGTGACACAGGACCTTTGGTTTACATGGTCTCATCCGAAGGACTACATGGTCTCCACTTCCTGCAGTGGGATTTGAACATGTGACGCAAGGATCAACTCCATACTCTGGGATTCTAGAGCAAACGTTCTAACCACTCCATTACACAGGCTACTTCTTGTCTTTTAAACACTTTTTTAATTTAACTTTTTATAGGGACTTGTGTATTTTAATTCCTTCCATTTTTTACCAGTAATGTATATACATTCCTGACATAAAAGATGTTAATCTAACTAAACTGCAATTAAGCAGAACTGTACCTCAGTGGCACACTTTGAGGATAAGAACCATTCACTGTGTGTTACTCAATACAGGTATTTTCATCTGCAATGAGCTGTAATGGATTTCTATTGTATATACATTTGATCAAATTGATACTTTAGAATTTAAAGATACATACCACAAACAAATTTTCTTATCTCCCACACAGAAAAGTTACACTGGTATTTTTTCAATATTTCTTCCAATGGAAATGTAATTAAAAAATTTTAATTGTGTGAAATGATAAAAGACACTCTTGAAAATATCCCCCAGAAACTCTGCATTAAGAACTTTATACTTTTCTTAAACTTTTCAAAAAATATATTGAGCTGTAAAGATGCATTTTTCCACTAAATTTCACTAAATTATGTGGCTTGGCCTGAAATATTAAACTGTTTATCTAAACAATATCACTTCTAAAGTGAGAGAGACACATATTTTAGCAAAGATATTTGAATTTTGGAAGAGAAAAGTTTGTTTTGTGTTATTTATTCTTAAATAAATGCAATGTACATATATGCTTTCATTACATCTGTGCTTTTAGTGTTTTTCTGGATTGTTGAACTGGAATCAACTAATAATCTGCATGTGCTTTTAGAGTTTGTCTGGATTATTGAACTAGAACATATATACATAGCACTTGTATTATTTGTGCTAATATACTTGGTATTCCTTATTACGTGTAATATATATTTTTGAAGTCAGTGGGCCAGGTTTTCAAATAATAGGGCTGCACTTCACTTCCTTGGAATTCATTTACATAATATATCCATCATCAATGGCATGTTTAAACATTTTCACAGAAATGTGTTGTATAACAAATGCACATCAAGGAGGGAATATTAAGCCCTAAGAAATTACTATTACAGTGAAAATATCAAAAAAGAACATTTCAAGTTAAATATGAACTGAAAATGCATGGATATTATCATGGTACAAGTACATGGTTAATGTCTGAAAGGGTCCTCCTATCTGTACATACCAAGTGCATTAACTAGAACTAAAATCATATATAAGAAACAAATTACTACCGTATATCAGTTTTTTTCTACGAATCAGAACCTTAAACAGTATATTAAATTTACGTGAATCAAATTTTCCCTATTGCAAGTTATAAACCTATGAAGGAATTGGGAGGGAGACAGTATTTGTACATATAGAACTCTTAATTTTTAATGTAAAAATTCAGTCAATGAAATTTATGCTGATTTATTTTCCGGGATTCAGAAATTGTCGCTAACAAAGCGGAAATTGGATACACATGAAAAAATCCTAATATACGGTATATGCCTGTAGCCCAAACTCGTAGACCGAAACGGAAATTGATAAGCTTTGTGAAGACTTAAACCAATCCCCGCTGTTATTACAAGGTCATTCTTTGTGGTCCCCCCTTGACCAATGTTGATTCCACAGCATTCAGAATATGTTGTTAACTAATGACCTTAAGGTAAGTTGTGGTCTTGAATCAAGGTCACATATTCCAGATCAAGGTCATTATACCCCTACCTAGATCACCCGAGTCTTCAGTAGGATATGTATTACATGTGTACCTCATTCCAGTAGTCAAACATAGGTACCGGTAATCAAAGATTACGAAGCTTACCTCAACGAATGTTATCTAAAAGAAAGGCAAATTTCACATTATATATTTTTTTTCTAGTTAGTTTACATCCCAAGAACGATATCCATGCAAGTTTGGTTTAAGGGTGAATTAAAAAAAAATGACCACCAAACTGAATTTTTTTGGCAAAATTCAACTACTTATAACATATTTTTCACTTATATCATCATATTGCAAATGCATTCTAGTTTAAAATCCTGAAGTGGCAATGGAATAGACAATTGGATTAAAAAGTTTCAGAATTTTTATTAGTAAAATTTCTTTTGAAAAAAGAAAATATCATTACACCTTGAAAGACTTTCTAAAATACATAATCACAAGAAATTATAGTTTTTTATGCTTCAAAATGGTATAAATGATTAAATCTATACCTTGAATGAGTATCTTCTCTTGTACATGTGACAAAAAATTGGCTTTTTGATTGTTATTTTACATTATTTTTTCAATTCTGGTTTGAAAAGTTTTAATATGAAAAAAATATGAAGCAATAAAATTCCCCAAAGTTCACTTTTTTGTCCGTTCAAGTCAATTCTTTAAATCTAGGCCAAAAAAGAACTGTTATATACTAGTTCTCTTACAAAAAATACTAGATTTTGAAGTGACCCTATGTTACATTATTGTGTTGCACTCCTGACATCTGATATGTATTTTATTTAACATTGTTTTAAAAATTATAACACACAATAACCCATTCTTACTTTGTAAATCAATTTATCGTGTTGATATTTTTCATCGTTTACAGCAGGTTTTTCATATTTTGAAGACCTTAAAACATGATTATTTGCAAAGTGTAATATATATAAATTGTATTTAAAATATATGTGAAATGATGAAAAATATTCCCTGAATTGACTGTAAATTTTCTGTAATTTGTTGATAGACATAGTGTTTTGAACATCAAATAGTATCAAGCATTTTTTTTCAACTTATTTTTTAGCAAAGATAGTTAAAAAGCATCGGTAATTATGAACCAGTTTTGTTGCACTCCTGACTGCAGTAAAGTTTAAAATTAAAACCATAGAACACAAAAATTCATAAAGTGTTGGCAACATCAAGTGGTAATGAAATTGTGCAATACTTATAGTCCAATACTTCATAATTAAACAGATGAAAGTATTTAAAATTCACATTTTATCTGGAATTATACCCTATTTTATGCCCAAAAAACTAGCTTAAATGTATATTTAGAAGATAAAATATATTTTAAAGCATATTTTCCTTTAGAAGACAAACACAGTAACCCACCAGAAAAATTCTACTCATCATTTTTTCTTTATTTTTATTCTTATTGGATGATTTATAATTCTAACATATTTGTTGCACTCCTGACCAAAAGCATTGGGGCCTTTAAAGTAGAATTGTGAAGTGAAAATTACATAAGAACTTGTTCTGTTGTTTCAGTGAAGTTGAGGAGGAATTTCTTGAATTTTATGACAATGTTTTAGTGTGTTTATTTTTAACGTTCATTAAATAAATCACAAAAAAGATAAAAACACATCTGAATTGATAAAATTGAAAAAGGAAGGATTTTAATAATAAAACTGTCAATAATTTAGCATTAAATTATACAAAAAGATCATTATTAATTAATGAATACTTCTAAGCATGAATAGAAATCTTTTCTTCACACAACTTGAATCTTTAAAAAAATGTGTTGCACTCCTGACCATAGAAATATGGATCTGAAGCACAGACAGATCCTGTAATTGATAAATCTATTTGGTAAAAATGTTCTTAGTGTCTTTGTTTTCCAGAATAAAAATCAGAAAATCATATAATGATAATAGTTTTTTCATGCTTGGGAGCAAAACATCAAATGTTGCACTCCTGACATTTTTGGGTATCCACATATACTTGACTCTCATTAATGCTGCTTGTGATTTATATAACATTTTTAAGTTTTAAAATGTATATCAGTTATTATTTTACACTTCCAAAATTCTTTTTTGTCTTAATTTTCTATGAGAATTTTACAATTGATGTTTTTTTGGCAACACTACATTTTTTCTGTTGCACTCCTGACATGGTATAACATTTTTTTAAACATCAGCCACGACCACAACTTGAGTAAACAAAAGTTATGACAGTCCACATTTAAAGCTCAATACTTTGAATATTATCAGGAAAGTCTTTATTTTCAACATGAAGCATTATTTTTTATTTCACAGATCTCCAAAAAATATTGAAATTTCAAAATGTCACAAAAAGGTGTTGCACTCCTGACAATTTTAGCATCATTTTTGGGCATAACTTTTTTGTTAATTGAGATATCAACGAGATATTTGGCAGGTATTTAGACACTATCTAAAGACATATGCTGAGACATAGAAATCTATTTTCATTGCATGTATTTTTAGTGTGGGTTGATAAATATGCGTTTGGTCATTTTTTTTTTAATTCACCCTTAAGTAGGACTTATAGTTACTTGGAAATAGACCTGCTCAAAAAACTTTTAACCTCTTTACTGATCAAGAAAATTTTGGTCAGTTCCAACATCCAAAGCAGGTCTGGAAGTTTTCATCCATAGATGCACCACCCATGCAATTTAATCATAACAGGTGATATTATATAGCTACTCGAAAAAAAATTACCCTGGTCACTCATCTGGAAAATGTGGGTGAGATTCAGAATCCAAAGCAAGTCTGGAAGTATATCCATCCCTAGATACATCATCCATGCTAATTTGGTTAAAATATGGCTAAAATTCACTTGTGGAAAATCTAGCTCAGATCCAGCATCCGAAGCAGGTTGGTTAGTGTACATCCCTAGATGCATCATCCATGAAAGTTTGGTCCAGGTAGGGCTTATAGTTATTTGGGAACGGACCTGCTCCAGAAAATTTAACCTGGTCACTCATCTGGAAAATCTAGGTCAGATCCAGCATCCGAAGCAAGTGTGGTAATTTACATCCATAGATGCATCATCCATGCAGGTTTGGTCCAGGTAGGGCTTATAGTTACTTGGGAATGGACCTGCTCCAGAAACCTGGTCACTCATCTGGAAAATCTAGGTCAGATCCAGCATCCGAAGCAAGTGTGGTAGTATCCATCCATAGATGCATCATCCATGCAAGTTTGGTCCAGGTAGGGCTTATAGTTACTTGGGAATGGACATGCTCCTAAAACTTTAACCGAGACGTCGACACCAGGGGTAAAGCATAAGCTCATCTCGACTTCGTCGAGGCGAGCTAAAAAAAGTGCTTCAGCCTATCCCTACTGAGTTGCATTTATCTTGGAAGATGCATCATACTAGATCCTGTTCAACTCTGGTAGTTAACATTTTGATATTAATTCACAGAAATAATTAAAACAAAATTTTGTTCCAAGTTTTTAATAGCTTCTTTTTTTATCATGTGTTTAAGAACATGAAAGACCATTTATAGATTTATCACATTTGAGATTCATTCTGAGTTAACAAAAGTTAACTTTAAAGTAAAACATATAATCATACAGACAATTTCAGTAATATTATTAATTAAAAAACTGATCTTGTACTCCAGTAATCACAATTAGACCTAGTATCTTTACTCCTTGAAGTTAGATGTACATGTATAACTATGTAAAAAATATTCTTCATTAACAAAAAAATACCGACAAGACCTTTCAAAACAATATAAGCTATACATGCATCCCTCCAAGGCAATTTTGGACATTCTTTCTATTTCAAATGCATTCAAAAAATTCTGAGATATTTATGACACTTCATAATGACTAGATAACATTGTTTACTAAAACTGTTGTTGCTACATGTATATACAATTAAAAGCTTCGTCGATTGAAAAAAATAAACTGAATTAAAGCTGTCACTTAAATAGGAATAAAACAATTTTTTCACATTTAGACTGCTTATACATATATACAGAATACTAGTAAATAGTCTTTCATAGTGTATAAAGATGATAAAGCACCATATTATATGATACATGTCTATTTTGTTTGAGATAAACTATCAGCAAATCAGGGGAAGATTTAAACAAGAGGCCCATGGACCACAATGCTCACCAAGTCACTATGGCCCTGCTTTTCATAAACAGATTTTCCCCATATAATTCTATGATAAACCATTGTGGCCCTACCCTACCCCTAGGGGGTCATGATATGAACAAACTTGAATATACTACTTGAATATGTTTCCATATACACATGACTAGTCATGGCTTTGCTCTTCTTGAAATGATTTTTCCTACATATTCCCATGTCAAAATTTGATCACCCATTGTGACTCCTACACACCCAAAGGGGCCATGATTTGAAGAAACTTGAATCTACACTACCTGAGGATACTTCCATATGAAAATGACTAATCATGGCAAGCTGTAATCTTGAAAAATAAGATTTCTCCTGTATATTCCTCCATAAAACTTTGAGTGCTAATTGTGGCTCTGTCCTTCTCAAAATTTGAACAACTTGCATCTAAACTACCTGAATATATTTCAGTGAAGACATGACTAACCATGGCTTTACTGTTTATGAAAAGAAGATTGAATTTTCCTAATATTATCATGTAAAACTTTGACTGCCAATTTTGGTCCCACCCTACCCTCAGGGGTCATCATTTGAACATCACCTGAGAATGTTTCCATATAAATATGACTAAGATCATGGCTTTGCTGTTCTTGAGAAGAAGATTTGTTAAGATTTTTCTTATATACTCCTGTGGTAAACTTTGATTGCCTTTTGTGACCCCACCCTATCCACAGGGGTCATGATTTGAATAAACTTGAATCTACACAATGTAATGAAGCTTTCACTTAAGTTTCATCTTTTCTGGCCCACTGGTTCTTGAAAAGGTTTTTAAAAAGATCCCATTAAATTTTCACTAAATCTTAATTATCTCCCCTTGAAAGAGGACATGGCACTTCATTTGAACATAAACTTGAATCTCCCTTCACCCAAGGATGCTTTGTGGCAATGTTGGTTAAAATTGGCCTAGTGTTTCTGCAGAAAAAGATAAAAAAGTGAAAAGTTTGTGACAACAGACTCCCTTCGATCAGATAAGCTCACTTGAGCCTTTGGCTCAGGAGAGCTAAAATCATTTGAACTGGCATCTCAAACATACAATCAAAAACCACACTCCTGCAGTCATTCTCTTTCAGTGGATTTTCTTTATCCAGAGGACTTTTTTTTGGCTTTTATATCACATTACTTCTGTTACATATACAAGTATTTCCATACTCATAATTCCATGTAAATAGTGTTAAACTCAGCTAACACTGTATCAAAACATCAAATTTTCAAATATCATGTAACTTGCTTTTGTAAGAAATAAATTCAGATAATTTCCCCTATGTTGTAATTCAATGAAAAAAAAAATGTTAACATCATTCACTCTACATTTCACCTATTCAAGTATAAAGCATACATTTACATGTTAACAGTGCACTCAACAAACTGTACAACACTATAGATGAATTTTGAAGAAATGACACATCTAAAAAAATGCGGTTGTTTATTAAGGATCCACAAATGAAATCATGATATACCGCGTCCCTTTGGTAACAACAAGGCCTTCATGATAATGAGTTAGTCGTCCCGGATGCATCAACATCCATCCTTTTCGTGTTGCTGTCACGCTGCAATTGTATCGTATAAAGCGACATCCTCCTCCCTATATTGGAAATTCAAAAAGTTATTTCTTTACTTCTGTACTTCTAGTTCTGAATTTCTTGCAATACATCGGTTTAAAAATGTAAAGAAAAAGAAGTTGGGACTACCAAATAACTTCAACATAACCCTGATATTTGAGATATCAGTGTTCAAGAGAACGAAGTTCAACTGTATTTAGTTTGCCATATATTCTTTCAAGATAAGAAAAGGAAAACATATACATTTTGGAAATGAATTTTGAGAAACACATGTATAAAACATAGGTAATCAAAGATTACGAAGCTCACCTCGACAAAGGTTATCTATAAGTAAGGCAAATCTCACATCATATTTTTTTCTAGTTAGTGTACATCCCAAGATCAATATCTATACAAGTTTGGTTTAAGAAGGACTTATAATTACTTGGAAATAAACCTGCTCAAAAAACTTTTAACCTGTTTACTAATCAAGAAAATTTTGGTCAGTTCCAACATCCAAAGCAAATCTGGAAGTTTTCATCCTTAGATGCACCATCCATGCAAGTTTAATGATCATAACATGCCATAATCTTATATAGCTACTCCAAAAACATTACCCTGGTCACTCATCTGGAAAATGTAGGTCATATTCAGAATCCAAAAACAAGTCTGAACGTGTCCATCCTAAGATAAATCGTCCATGCTAATTTGATTAAAATATGGCTAAAATTCACTCATCTGGAAAATCTAGGTCAGATTCAGCATCCGAAGAAAGTGTGGTAGTGTCCATCCCTAGATGCATCATCCATGCAAGTTTGGTTCAGGTAGGGCTTATAGTTTCTTGGGAATGGATCTGCTCCAAAGACTTTAACCTGGTCACTCCTAGGTCAGATCCAGCATCCAAAGCAAGTGTGGTAGTGTTCATCCCTAGATGCATCATCCATGCAAGTTTGGTCCAGGTAGGGCTTATAGTTACTTGGGAATGGACCTGCTCCAAAGACTTTAACCTGGTCACTCATCTGGAAAATCTAGGTCAGATCCAGCATCCGAAGCAAGTGTGGTAGTGTCCATCCCTATATGCATCATCCATGCAAGTTTGGTTCAGGTAGGGCTTATAGTTACTTGGGAATGGATCTGCTCCAAAAACTTTAACCTGGTTACTCATCTGGAAAATCTAGGTCAGATCCAGCATCCAAAGCAAGTGTGGTAGTGTCCATCCCTAGATGCATCATCCATGCAAGTTTGGTTCAGGTAGGGCTTATAGTTACTTGGGAATGGACCTGCTCCAAAGACTTTAACCTGGTCACTCATCTGGAAAATCTAGGTTAGATTCAGCATCCGAAGCAAGCATGGTAGTGTCCATCCCTAGATGCATCATCCATGCAAGTTTGGTTCAGGTAGGGCTTAAAGTTACTTGGGAATGGACCTGCTCCAAAAACTTTAACCTGGTCACTCATCTGGAAAATCTAGGTCAGATCCAGCATCCGAAGCAAGTGTGGTAGTGTCCATCCCTAGATGCATCATCCATGCAAGTCTGGTTCAGGTAGGGCTTATAGTTACTTGGGAATGGATCTGCTCCAAAAACTTTAACCTGGTCACTCATCTGGAAAATCTAGGTCAGATCCAGCATCCGAAGCAAGTGTGGTAGTGTCCATCCCTAGATGCATCATCCATGCAAGTTTGGTCCAGGTAGGGTTTACAGTAACTTGGGAATGGGACTTGCTCCTAAAACTTTAACCGGGATGCCGACGCTAACGCCGACGCAGACACCAACGCCGGGGGTATAGCATAAGCTCATCTCGACTTCGTCGAGGTGAGCTAAAAATCTTCATGTACAGTGTATATTTTTAAAATCTTTAATGAAAATTAATCTAAGCATCATATTATAAGTTTTTTTGATAAACTGATATCAACAGCTACATCGCCTGCACTATTACAATCTAACCTGAATATACTTATTCAGATATGCTTTTGTCTGCTGTCCTTCAAAGAAGTTATTTGAAGATAGGTACCAGGCAGGCCAATTATAATATCAATTTTACCATGTAAAATATACTGTACATTATACTGACCTCAAAGTCCACTTTAGGTGTGTTAAGAGCAATGTTGATGGTGAATGTTGAAGAGTCATGATGTGGACGTAATCTGTCTTGCTCGTCTGGTCTATATCGTACCACAAAGTTCATTATTGCTCTAGGAGGCTGAGAAAATTACAGAAATCTTTACAAAACATTCCACATGTGCATACTTTTAATTTGCAAAACTCTTGTGAATGGTAAACATCATAATAAACTATTGTGGTAAGTACTGAACATTATAAAATTATTGACTTTTGATAAAGTTTACTCGTGACTGTAAGGACCTGGTCAGATATTGGTTAACCGAGGCAGAAGACTGAGCATAACCAACACCCGACCTGGTCCATATACTCGTGACTATATGGACCTGGTCAGGTATTGGTTAACCTCGGCCTTCTGCCTCGGTTAAACATTACCTGACCAGGTCTAATCATGAGTAGACCGAATTAAAAAGTCAATAACCATTTTATTTAAAATCAGGAATTTTACATCTGTTATTCATTTTTAACACTATAGATATTGTCTCAATCAAAAATAATAGTCATGATATAAAATGTTTTGTTGCAACATATCATAATTACATACATTTCATCGGATTAACGACTGTTTATCAAGATGGTGAATAATATTATATTGCAAATACACAATCATTAACTATTAAAGGAACTTAGTCTCTTCGATACTGGTGTCTGCATTATTCACATTACGACAACACATGCTTTAAAAATTTCATTGGTTGATAAAATTGTAAGCAAATCTATGGTTGGTAAAGACAGAAAACCAGAGTAAACCTCTCGAAACTTCATTTTGAGGTGAACTAACTCTGAGGAAAGAGAGTGTGGACCAATCAGAGAGCATCAAAATTCTTGATCATTAATGTATTAACTTACATGAAATTGTTTGTTTTTTTATTTTGGTCAGATTTTTATTCTTCTTTCATCTTTGACTAAATGTTTACACTAGACACAGACTTACATCACTGTGGTATCCTGCGAATGCCTTCTCCTGTAGAGGAGATACATACACCTTAAGGAAGTGTAACCACTGCTTCTCCAGTCCTATCTGGTTCATATGTGTGTCTACGGTGGGGACATTCTCGTACCCTGTAGCCAGACGGGGATCCTATAGATGGGAGGAAAAAACATATAAAATCAGATTTAACAAACAAACTTTGACAAGACAATGTTGGACTAAAAAGTGTTTCCCGAGAGTTAACATGAAGAGACACATCTCCCAGAATAACTATGAGGTCTGGGTACTATAATTAGCCTGAATTACTTTATTGTGGTACTCACCTCATTTTTGCCACCTGACCACTGATTAGCATGCTCCATTTCAGCCACGAGATCATCAGCAAACCTGTTGCTCACAATGGGGAACCAGAAAACATCTGGACAGGGCTGAAAGGAGTTCAACAAATGGTTTAAACTTGATATGAATTTAGTGATAAAATAGTTTAGAGTATTTTTATTGATAAGAGTTTAAAAGTGGGTGATTCATAATGAATATTATTTTTTGTAATAATGTAATAGGTATATATTCATGATAAACATTATTTTTTTTGTAATAATGTAATATTATAATACCTGCACCAGTTGATTGATACCCTCAACTTCTAGACTTTTGGAATAATTTTCATGAATGTACTTCTGTTCCCAATCCTGAAATAAATTAAGAAAGTATCTATTTAAAATTTCTTACAGACACAATTAGAAATCAGATTGAATTCTTATGTGATTTAAGTTTCTTAAATGCAATAATCAGAAACAAGATAGGGTGTCTTTAACACATAAATGACTGAAATCCTATACTTGACCTACAAAGAATTTGGTAGTTTTTCACCAAAATAATAAATTGGTATGCTTACGTAGGGGTTTTGAATGATTTGATAGAGGTCATTGTGAAGATGAGAAGTCTCCATATCATCGTACTCAACAAGATGACCATGGATTTTTCTGTTGGTGGCATACATAAAAATACCCTGTAAAGAAATATACATACAGTAAAACATGGTTATAATGAACATAATTAAATTGAATTCATGCTTACAGTGAAGTGATTTTCATTCCCTGTAGTTTTAAAGCAAATTTATTAATGTACCGAATATTATGAATCAAAATTATTCCTCACTGGCACTTCACTATAAAATGTTTTATTGTATACACATGTACATCTGTCAGAATGTGATTCAAACACTTTAAAGTTTATATCTGTTTCACAAACTGTTATTTTTTCTCTTTATTCACCATTTCTATTTAGTAATTTATAAAAAGAAAAACAATACCTGAATTAACTGTACAAAAAACACAAACCCTTTGCCTGAGTCCTCCACAGAAGGCCATGTCAGCTTCCTTTCCCTCTGCCACAAAGATATCCCGGAGATCTTTCATTAGAGAGCCATGAATGAGATAGGACCCAGTGATGTAAGGAACATTCCATAATCCTCTGAAACATCAGTAACAGAACACTGTAGAAATCTATAGCAAGCATTAAACATTTATTCCTCTAACATCTCACAGCAAATTTAAAGGTGTCATGAACCAAAGAAAATATGGTGTTTGATACATGTACTTTACATTCTGGTGTTTATAGCAGAAATGTCAATCTCATTTCAACTTACTTTTAAACATGTGCAAACACAAAACATGTACCATATATTGACTTCCTATGACCTTGTACATGTATAGGAATGCATAACCGTACTCGTCAAGAAATTCTTAACCGTAATCATCAGTTATACTGAGTAAATAATCATTCATGAGTCAGATAACTTGTCATATAGAACAAGAAGTCTGTGAGCCAATGCTCACTAATAATACCCCCGCTCTGATGTGAATACACAAGTTCAGTTACAGACAAACACAGTGATAATCAGGAAATTGACATTGGATTAGTAAAAAATGAATCCCAACATATGGCATGCCTAAACAAACATTGTGTTAAGATTTCAAGCACCTGCGATAAGTAGTTGCTGAGAAAACTGCGACCAAAATTTGTTATGTATGGTACAGACAGATGCAGGGATAAACAGGAAGTTGACATCAGATTTGTACCAAAATGAATCCCATTATATGGCATGCCTAAACAAAACTGTGCTAAAATTGCAAGCATCTGCAATGAGTAGTTGCTGAGAAAACTACGACCAAAATTTGTTATGTATGGTATGGACAGATGCACGGATAAACAGGAAGTTTACATCCGATTTGTACAAAAATGAATCCCACCATATGGCATGGCATGCCTAAACAAAAATTGTGCTAAAATTTCAAGCATCTGCGATGAGTAGTTGCTAAGAAAAATACGACTAAAATTTGTTCTATATGATACGGACAGACACACGAATAAACAGGAAGTTGACATCGGATTTGTACAAAAATGATGAATTCCAACATATGGCATGCCTAAACAAAGAGTGTGTTAAAATGTCAAGCACTTGGGATGAGTAGTTGCTGAGAAAACTGCGACCAAAGTTTGTTATGTATGGTACGGTTAGACACACGAATAAACAGGAAGTTGACAACGGATTAGTACAAAAATGAATCCCACCATATGGCATGCCTAAACAAAGAGTGTGTTAAAATTTCAAGCATCTGCGATGAGTAGTTGCTGAGAAAACTACGACCAAAATTTGTTATCTATGGTACGGACAGATGCACGGATAAACAGGAAGTTGACATCCGATTTGTACAAAAATGAATCCCACCATATGGCATGCCTAAACAAAGAGTGTGTTAAAATTTCAAGCATCTGCAATGAGTAGTTGCTGAGAAAACTGCGACCAAAGTTTGCTATGTATGGTACGGACAGACGAAGTTGACATCCGATTTGTACAAAAATGAATCCCACCATATGGCATGCCTAAACAAAGAGTGTGTTAAAATTTCAAGCATCTGCAATGAGTAGTTGCTGAGAAAACTGCGACCAAAGTTTGCTATGTATGGTACGGACAGACGCACGGATAAACAGGAAGTTGACATCAGATTTGTACAAAAATGAATCCCACCATATGGCATGCCTAAACAAAGATTGTCCTAAAATTTCAAGCATCTGCGATGAGTAGTTGCTGAGAAAACTACGACCAAAATTTGTTATGTATGATACGGACAGACACACGGAAAAACAGGAAGTTGACATCGAATTCGTACAAAAATGAATCCCACCATATGGCATGCCTAAACAAACATAGTGCTAAAATTTCAAGCACCTGCAATGAGTAGTTGCTGAGAAAACTGCGACCAAAATTTGTTACGGACAGACAGACAGACAGACAGCTAGACAGACGGACAGACAGACAGACACACAAGGGTAAAACAGTATACCCCCCTCTCCTTCGGAGCGGGGGTATAATTAACTCTTCCATGAATATTCAAGTCTCATTCTTGTTATATGCAATATATTACATGTAACTGTATTCACTGTATTTACAAGTATGCCTGTAACTGTTTATATATGTTAAGGATTATTGTAGGATTATCTATAATATTACTTCACACTCTTCACCAAATACAGATACAATAAATGATCTAGATAAAAAACTGACAAACACATATCTATGCATTATCTTACATTTTCCTCTTTTCCACAATGTCTATGTAGTCCTCAGATCTCACATACCAGCCATTTCTGTCCACAGCTCCCCAGAAATTGGACCACAGTTTGTAAGGGCGGGTCAAAATGGGTGCCAAAACAGTCCTAAATACAGGTAATAAGGCAATATGAATGACTTAATCTTTCTGTTAGTGTTACAGTATTTCTAAAAATTGCATTGATGGATAATTTTGTGAAAAGGGCTGAAAATTATTGTTTTACAGTTGACAATGTCTCCAAGGATTACCTGTTTTGCTCTATAAGATCTATCAATGTATCTGGGTCAGTGATTTGAGCATAGACATCCACAGAAAACAAATATTGGTCATTCTTCTGTTTACACACCTCACTGAAATAAACATTACTTTTCTTTATTGGAAGAAAAATCCATCTACTAAACAAGATCTTCATTATTTAATCATAAAGCCAATCAAATTTCAAAATATAATAAGAAGATCATATATTTTATTTCTAGATTGAAACAATAGACTATAGTAGACTTAGCAAATTTTCTCTAACTTTTAGATTACAGTTGGCACACGGGGCTCAACATTAACGTTTGAACAATTGTCCTTGTCTGGTTCATTTAGTGATTGGACAAGTATAACTCCAAACACTTGCCTGATCAGACAAGTAACTTTTTTACCATTATGGAATCGTGTGAATAAATCCCCACAGAATTCATACAATGCAATATGCAATATCTGTAACAGATTTATTTTTCTGTTTAAATACAGATGAACTTTGGTATCTCGAACACCAATATCTCAAATACCATGGATATGTCGAAGTGATCTGGAAGTCTCAACCACATATTCCTTTAGTATTTTACCCTTTTTCTAGGTCCCATGGAGTTCAAGATAATGAGGTTTGAATGAAATTTTTTATGTCAGTGTTTGTTTTACTGCTACTTCAACCATAATAGAGTTCGACAATTTTCTTCATATTAGGGGTGAAACGATACACCTCCTTCACGGTTCGATACGTATTGTATAATTTTGTCTCGGTTCGATTATTTTCGATATGATACATTTTGATAGAAGGAAACAAATTCAACGTTGTTTTATGCTTTCTTTTTCTAAATCTAGTCACATATTTTACGAATTTTATTTGCAAATTGACTAGAAGAAATTGATTAAAATTATTTGACTGTCAAAAATTATTTTACAAGCTATCAGTCATCAAAAATTAACGTTTTCTATACTTATTTATACTGAGTAACGTGTTTTACCTTATGCCAAACCCGACTGAATAACGATCCCGACCGAAAAATGAACCGAACCGAAAATTAGAGATTTTGCACCGTGTATCAAACCGAGAAAAAATACCGCGGTGAATCGATACCGCGGTGAACCGTTTCACTCCTACTTCATATCTGTTCAGAATCAGACAAGTTAAGAAAGCATTCGGACATGTTACATTTTTTGGCAACTCGTTCAATGGATAAGTGGATATTTTAGTTAATGTTGAGCCTTGGCACAGTACATCATTAACACATGATGCATTATAGTTATATACAGTTGAACATCAATATTTCAAACACTAAATACCAGGGATATGTCAAAGTGATTTAGAAGTCCCAACCACTTACAAGTATTTTACCCCAATATCTTGATTCCTCTGATATCTCGAAGTTTTTTCTCGATCCCACTGAGTTCGAGATAATGAGGTTCGACTGTATACTGTTTAAAATAAATTCTTACATGGCCCAGTTTCTAGCAGCAGGTTCATGGATTCCATCAGATGGCATTAACACAGTGGTAGATCTGTACAGGTCATTGTATTTTTCCAGGAAATTAGCCACATCCTTGTTGTGGAACTCCACCTATCAAGGGAGATAAATCTTATTCTACACTGACACATATTTGTAATAAAGTTGATTCAATTGTTTAAATTTGATTTCGGTTTAGTTTTGTGGATTTAATTATGTCTACATTGGGTTACCATAGAGGTGTATGGAAAGTTAGCCTTTTTAAAAGGAGTATATACAGATGAGTATATAAGTGACTGGTTAGGCCAGAGTGGTCAGATTAGGGAGCCAGATGCCACGTTCTTGCAGGTTCTATACCTTCTAAAGTTGGTTAATATTTCACTTATAAGGACTACTAACCCCTTCACTACACGGGTGGCCATTGGAATATGGAAAAATTGTTAGACTGGCATATATTTATTTTCCCTATCTGACTATGCAGTAAGCATGTTTATTTTGTTCAGTTTGTAAATTTGTAAGTATGCAAATTTGATATGGTTTTTCTATGTATAAATTTGATTTTGAGGTTAGTTAAATGTATAATATTTTCAGTGCATGAGGGGCGTTTGGTACATTTTTCTTAATGGGGAACAGTTCAGAGTCATGTGTGACGAGAACCAACATTAAGGAGAGGCATGTGGGTATTGAAAAATGGATTTTTTTTTAAGTGTAGGGACGAACTACATTCGTTTCAACCGGGAGTGGGGGACCATGGAGTCCGGGGCTTAGGTTGGAGATTTGCATCCTGTTGGAGAAGGTAGTCAATTGTCCGCCTGCTTGTTTGTCAAAGGGAAGGATCAGCAAGTGGTGGCGGGAAACAACAAGAGTTCCTTTCAGAGCGACTAGTGAAACATGTGAATACATTTTACTTGTGAATTAATATCTTGAAATTATAATACATCTGATGCGCTATGTGATACAAAGACTTTAGACTTTAATATAATTCAAGTATCAGATATTTGATAATTTAATAACTTTATTCAAATTTATTTTTGTTTTGGGTGTGGTGTGACGGGAGGGAGAGAGAATATTTTTATTACTTTTTTTGTTTATTTTCACAATAATTTTTTTTTCGTTAACTTTCATCTCAGCTGTACAAAATCTTGTTACCATTGGCACATTTTGTTAATAAATCTAATTTCACAGACACCTTTCAGATTTCATGAATTCCCTGATAAAATGTAGAACAATCTGTTTAAGAAATAACTGTCTAGTTTTTTGGTTTTATGTTATGATCAATCAGTTTGCTTGTGTGATAATTTGCATAAATGCTGAATGCATTCATGCCTGAAATTATTCTGCAAGCAAACTGATAGATCATCATCACAAAGCCAAAATACAGAAATTTTTTTTTCTTATAGTTACATTTTTACCTGATCCTTGATGCAATAGAAAAAATATTTTCATTCAATATTGAATAATAAGCAATCTCAGCAATCCTCGCCCAGCGTGTACTGTGTAGCAACACAGAGAAAGCAGCCAGTTAAATTCTTTGATGTGCTGAGCAAATCGCTTTATGAGATTAAAAAGCTATTACCTTATTTGTAGTGTTATTTTTCCTCTTTAAATGAATACTTTTTACTAAAGGAATAAAAAAAACTCTAAATCAAAAAACATAATTCAAAAAGTGTTAAGAAAAAAAATTATAATAACTGTATCACATACATTATTATGAATGAAAAGGTCCATTCTTGACTTTGGATATTTCAGTTCGGCTATTCTTTCCAGGAACTCTTCTGCAAATGGTGTTGGTTGTTCAAAGAAAAGTGACAATAAAACAGTAGGGAATTCTTCATCCTGAAAAATACCAGATAAAATGTATATCAAATGGCCAATAAAAATATAAAATTGATTAAAAAATTATCTAACATACCAATTTGCCCATTTACTAGAGAAGACTAACTTCTTTTACATCTCACAAAGAAGGAAAAAGAAATGAAAATTTATATTCATTAGGTTACTTTTAAATCTTTGATGCTGATGGTTTCTTCCTTGCAGGAAAGACATCCACTCTGTGAGGTCCAACCATCTACCAGATAATTAGCAATTCTGTTAAACTGAGGCTGAAAAAGGATGACCAAACATGGCAAAATTAAATATTTAGTAATACCAGTTTTTAATGCTACTTTTGAAAATACTCTATTTTACTACAAATCAGCAGAGACATGTAGATGGCTTGAACCGATGTTGGTTGTCTTACCTTGATTGGGCCATTTCCATGCACCACAATCGGAGTAGTCCCAGTTTTAACATTGTAGGCAAAACTGTGGTCACTCTTGAATTTGATAGTAACATCATCTAAAAGGGAAACAATAACTCTCTGTCAGGAAACTCAAGTATGTGATAAAAGGTGCATAAGAAAGGAGCAAAAGAATTTCATTTAAGGATGGGGAACAGCTCTTCATTACCTAAAGCTCCATTCAAGTTTTGGAAAAGATCTGATTTTACATCAAGCTTCATGTTCCATTTTTTCTGAAATACAAGGTAAAAAAGGTCAAATTAGTTTGCACTTGATTTGCACAATTCCAGTATCAATTTATAGCAATTAACCTTTCAGATATGCACATTTTGGGACAAATAGAAATTTATTATGTATATCTATGGCAATGTATCTGCACAAACATTCCATTTATACAAGGGGTTATCAAAAAGTTTGTGGACTGAAGCGATAAAATAAATACTACATAGGCTGTGCCTACAATATTTATAAGGAACATAAAAATCAAAAGTTTAAGAAGTATTGAAAATTTTAGCTTGATACATTAATAATTTGCCAACTTATCATTAAATACAAAAGATTTCATACAGTAATCTGGTGTTATCACCGTTGAGTTACATAATGTTCGACAACATCATTGATTTTCAATGTATGCTTGACTCTGCCTAATATATTTTTCTGGGCAAGATACCATGGTGTTAAACACTGACCAAAACCCACCTTGATATATATATATATATATATATATATATATATATATATATATATATATATATATATATATATATATATATATATATATATGACTTTAAAATTTCCTGAATGGTTGATTTCAAAACACAATATTGTAAGTGGATTTATGCAAAAGGTAAAAATCCTCTCTTGAAATTGGCACTTTAATCCACTTGTCTGAGTTCAATTTCTATCACACACCAGCAACCTTACTTTTCGATGAGACTGACTCTGGACACCCAGACAGCAAATCAGCATTAAAATGTGTTTCTCTACTCTCAAAAAACTTTGTTTCATTTAAAAACAGATAATCTGGACTTATTTTGTCTCTCTCTGGCCTGTTCAAACATTTCCAAAGTCTATGTAAATTTTTCCTAAGTGAACTTAGAATAAAATGTGGAAAAAGACAAACAGCCCTCCCCTTTTTTCCGGTGGCATTTTTGACCTGTAAATTTTTTGACTCACTGTTGAATTTACAATGAGATCACACAGAAATGAAAAATAAGATAAAAATTGCAAATTTTACGGAGCAAATTTTGTCACATCACATAAGTGAATCAACGTGAAAATTGGATGACAAATGCCTCATATCAAAATATTAGACATGCTGAAAAAACATGTTGTATTTTGAGATTGCACCACTTGGTCATACCACTGCTTCAAAAAATATTGACAATTTATCCACATATAAACCATATGTCTAATAGTTTATTCTGTAGACAGAAAAGGTGATGCTGAATAAATATGTAAAAATTCATTAATGTACTCTAAGTGGTTTTAATTTTATGGAGACCAGTCCACGTACCTTTTGACAACCCCTCGTATGTAAAAAAAAAAAATCACATTAATGAGCTTGAAACAAGTGGAAAAGATTAGCTAGAACACAAAAATTAAATTACACTAAAACATGCCTATAGCAAAGTGCTAGGGACAGATGATCTTCGGATTTTGATTCACTATAAATGTAATTCGTTATATCCATTAAGTTCACTACATCTTTAAAAGGCATAGGGAATGAAAATAACTTTGCTGTAAGCAGCAATTCATTTTCGCTATATTTAATAGTGCGTTTTACTGTATTTTGAGCACTAGGTACAGTTGCTTATTTCACTATACATAAGGATGTATCATTCATTCATGAACATGTACATCCTATTTATAGATTTAAGTAAACACAAAGTAGCAGAAGAAGTGGTCAGCACTGACCAGTGACTCACCCTTAGTGTGTTGTCCAGGAAGATGTTGGTGAAATACAGTTGGTCATCGTCCGTATCCTTTATGTCACGGAGGGTGATTATCTCATAAAGGTCCTTAGCATAACCTATGTATCCTGTCAACACATTATCATGGTATAATATTATATTACTTATATATATGTAAATATTCTGACAAGCTGCTCTTCAATAAATCAGTTAATGCATGTTGTTACCATGGTTACATATTAGGCATTAAGAATTATTACAAGAACTTCTTCTAAATGATGAAACAAAATTGGATTAAAATTTTTTAATGCTCTCTGTTTTTTTTGCTTATTATCATTTAATTTCAAATAGCAACTGAAAAGTGTTCTTACATACATTATGATAAATTTACTACATATATGGTAGTTGAGAATGAATATGGGACAACTCATTACACACTACTTCTGTTAATCTGAAACATTTTTTACAGTATGATAACCCACCTCCTGAATTTAGGTAGCGTTTTTCGTTTTCCTTTACCATAGGATATGATGTCTACAAAAAAGACCCAATAAATATATTTCATAGCCAACTCTTACTCGAAATTTCTTTCAAAATAAATACCAGTACACACACTCTAATACTGCATCACAATATCTAAATACTAATTAAAAGTTGTTATTCTAAGACTGCGTAACATTAACTGGCAAAATTGGAAATATGCAACTTACGTCATTTCCATCTGTTACAGTGAAAAGATTTAAGATAGACAATGAAATGGGCGGGTACAATTCGATACGGACGTCTGAGAAAACATTGGATTGAATTTCCAGTTTGAAATTCATTTTCAATCCACCTCTGTTACTCTAGAACGCACAGTGTTACTGATTGATCCAGAAGACAAATATTTTCAATTTTGGAGAGAGTTTGAAATTTATATAAATCAGAATTTTCTGTCCAGTGTTTTTAAAGAAATATAAAGGGACAAATATTTGATTTCTGTTTGGTATGTGTATGTGTGTGCTGGAGGGATGGGGGGGGGGGGGGGGAGGGGCTGAACGATCTTGGAAATAAAATAAGAAAGTTAATTTTCTTTTAGTTTGAACAATCCCTCCCTGTTTTTTGTTTGTTCAACATTTTTCAGTGAAGACAAAACTAAAAAAAAAAAGACTCTTGTCATCCTAGAATACATGTTTATTCTGTCATGAGAAGGCATGATCTGACTTCACAATTTTTGACCCCCCCCCCACCCCCCTTTTTAGAATCAAATAGCTGTCCCCTGAAAAAATAATCACTGCCTTCTATACTTTTATGTGTCCTTAAAATTATAGGCTAAAAACTCACATAAATATGAATTTCAAACAACATGTACTTGGGAATTGAAATTATTTGTCTTTTGGATCATACATTCACACCTCAGGTTTGAAAACAGCTCAGGTGGATTGAAAATGAACTTCAAACTAGAATTTCAATCCAATGTTTTCTCGGACGTCCGTGTCGAATTGTACCCGCCCATTTCATTGTCTATCATTAAATGTTTTGACTGTAACAGATGGAAATGACGTAAGCTGCATATTTCTAATTTTGCCAGTTAATGTTCCGCGGTCTTAATATTAAATAATGAAAATCTCTGTTCATTTCAAGTGACTTGTACATCAATCTAGTATCTTTCTTTTAGTAAATATGTAAACAAGGCATGTTTGTGTCTTTTACTTAGAACAGAAGCTTAAAAATGAAATATATTTATGGTTTTTATCATGACAAGCTTTATCACTTTGTTCAATGAAATTTTGTGACACAATATGAAATCAGTCAATAGATGGACATACAGCTAGTGATGGATCTGGCCAGCAGAATCCCTCAGCAGAAAATACAACCCGGGCATTTAATTTCTTGAATTTTCCCAAAATTTCTTTCTTCCCAGCAGTCAGGACAACATCATAGCTATAAAAATAAATCTCTCTGTGAACATTTTACACCCAGCTGTTGTACCGATAAACTAATAAAACTTGTAAAACTAATGCAGCATGTTAACAAAGTGTGTAAAACATATGTTTTTTTCATAAAATTATAAAGACATTCATAAGTACTGTAAATGTATAAATTACATTCAATGCATATCATTTCATTCAATGCATATAATCTACATGTAAGTTTTCACAATTCAGTAAGACATATTTATGATTAAAGATATTAGATAGGTACGCACAGTATTCAAATACATATAAATAATTAATTAACCAGAAATGACTTGATATCAGTGAAATAAAGCAGCACTTACCTGTCTGTAAACATAAGAATGAGGTCATCATGGGCCTTGTATTTCTCCAGCTCTTTTTTAAGAATATTGACCTTATGACCTCCTCCTGCATGATTGGCTACATCCCCACCCCTCCAATCTTGTCCCATTCCAAAAACCTGACAAAACACAAAGGAATCAAAGAAATTTAACAGAAATATTTTCTATAAAATTATATATCACTCTTTGAGGACCTGCTGTATTAACATAATAATACATGTAAGTGCCATGGATTCTTAAGAATTTGGAGTACATGTACCTACTAATAAACAAGTATTCTGTCACAGTTTGAAAGGTATTGTACAGATGATGATAATTGAGCTAGGAGCTAATTATATATTTTTTTTTCAGATAAAAAAATTCAACACTGATGCTTTAGGAAAATTATACAGTTGCTAAAGAAAATATAACATTTGAAATTATTTCAATCTGACTCTTCATCTATGGGCAGAAAATTTTTGAAATCTAGAAAAAGTACATGCTACAGTGTATGATCATGCATGGTAAGCTATGGTGAAACAGCTACTGGGCAAAATGCTATTTCACATACATGTACTTTCAATCCCTTTATGACAACAGATTTATTGAAACATTCTGTAAGAATGATGTTTACAACAAAATTTAGCTCAGTTCAAAATTTAAACATGTAATTTTGAAAATGCACAGACTTGAGCTAATTTCAAAGGACAGTAAGTTAATTCTGTTGGCTCAGAAGTCCAGTAGTTTTGATGCCAATGTCAATGTCATTACTGACAAATCTGTCCAAAATAATGATTATGCATATTGACTCACTCATTGACAAGCTTTTCAGGGAAAGCCAACATTTTTTAAATTTATGCTCTAAAAATAGGTTTAACTCTCTCAAATTGCTACTTCAATCTCTGATACATGTTTCACTTCAGAATGTAAACTGAGCCACTTAATTTCTCTCTGACTGATATGGGTTTTAATAAGTTTGTTCTTGGTACTTGTACCTATAAAATGATTATCTGACCTGAATACCAATCATCAGCTGTCTCATCAGCTTTAGTGTCAGGGGTTTGAAATAGGTTTTGCTTTTTTAACTTACTGCATAGGAATACAAGTGCATTCATTTTTCAATCAAATTGTTATACAATGTAATATGTAATTTATTTCAAATAATATAGAATGACATAAGTACCTCCACATCCAAACCATATTTATTTGTTGATCTGAGATATCTTCTAAGTCCATCTGTAACATCTGTGGCTATTGTTATCAGCTTCAGCTCTGTTGAATTTAAATAGAAACAGTTAAAAAACCACAATATATAATCGCAATCTTTGTCTTTGAGTTCTCTTTGTCTTGTCTAGTTTGAAACCAATTTAAGAACAATTAGCATGATTATTACAAAAGTCATCTAGCAGAGCTCTGTAATATCTCTTGAAGGTAGGAACAGCATACACTTATTTCATGACCATGATGACAATTGGGAAGCAGTCAAACCATTTTCCCAACGTTGAGAGGAAGACCCGGGAGAGTAACAATTTGTCTGAAGCTTTGGTAACAGCTTCCCAGATTTTCCACACTGTCAAGGGAAAACAGTTTCACAAGCCCAAGTAGCCATGAATAAGTGCCTAATGTAAGTAGTATGTCTAATATTTCAATTTATGTAGTAGGTTAGGTTATAATGAAGATATTGTTTCATTACAATATGCATCCCTCTGTAGACAAATGACTTAAATACATGTATATAATTTATACTCTAAAATATCCCTGTTTTAGAGTAACAAATTATAGTTGAACTTTGGTATCTGGAATCTGATATGTCGAATATCATGGATATGTCAAAATGATTTGGAAGTCCCAACCAATTATTCTTCAGCCATTTCCTTGGATATCTCATTTTTTTCTTTGTCCCTTCAAGTTCAAGATAGGGGGTTTAACTTAACTCTTTTGAGCAATATAAAGTTTGAACAGCTTAATAAATATCATTTCACAGCTTTTATACACATTAGTGTTAAAAATGTAATTCAAACAATATAAAAAAGTAAAAACTTAAAACACTCATTCAACATGTTCAACACAAGTCTGGAGCTAAATCGTGTAAATCGAATTACTGGTCTTAGGGCTGAGAATTCTTGAGGAAAATAAAGGTTTGAATATAATTTAAAATATGATTTCCACCAAATACATGTACGTAGAAGACAAAAAAAATCTGTCTTTCTTTCCTTATATCCTTTGTCTTAAAGTACAATAGATAGAATAGATAAATTCGGAATTCGTGAAGATGCATTATGTCACGTAGACCATTATTCTCACCCTTATCTTCCAAGGAAGCCACAGAATATGAGCCATAAATCAAGATAAGCGCGTTGATATATAAACTGATTTTCTTCGTATTTTCCATGTTGAAACGCATCGATGTATACATCTATAATTCTTTTTCTAATTCATTGTATATATATTCAATCCAATCCGGTTCCTCAAAGTCGATGATGTGGCAACCCACTAGCTTCTCCAGCAATGTAACCCGACACCACAGCCGAATATTCCAACTTCAACTTTGACCCACATGTGCATTTGTTTGGAATCCGAAAGTTCGTTCGGAAGTACTCTAGGGTTTAAATTGCATTTATAACATTAGAGGAGTACCGAGAGACGATTGCTACGTAAAAATCAAATGGTCTTTGTGTCTGATCCGGAAATGTGTAATAGTAGTTGGAATGTTGCATGGTTGTTCCTGACTGTTACAAAAATTTAACAATGAACTATGTAACTACTTATGTTAATATACACAATATCCTGAATGTAGAATGATTCTATCTGACAAATGATACGGAAGAGCGTGACTCCAGATCCAGGATTTTTTTTTCAGGGTTGGGGGGTGGGGGTGGGCTGTTCCACATCTCACCTGGGAAATCTTTTAACATGCCCCCCCCCCAAAAAAAAACGAACCCCCCCACACACAAACAACCGACCCAAATTCCGTTTGGGGGGTGGGTCTTAAGTAAAGTTTCTTCTGATAGATGAATTTCTATATCATTGGCGGATTTAGAGGGGGGGCCAGGGGGCCCGGGCCTCCCTTTTATGTCCAAAATATACATAAGATTTAACAAATCATTTTTTTGTGTGACCGTAGGCCCCTACCCCGACCCAAAACTCCCCCCCCCCCTTTTCAAGATTCCTGAATCCGCCACTGTATATCCCATATCCTTACCATTTTTATAGGGATCCGCGTTTCCTTGGCTCGTCCAAGGTCATTTTTTTGTTACTTTTACATAGAAATTTAATAACTCTGAAAATTCCGGGAGAGGGGGGGGGGGGGGGTTCGGCGACTCCCATCCAGATCTGCCCATGTATGGATACAATATGGAGCGTTAGGATGGGCCCCCGTGGGACTTTATCTGGGGGTTTGTAGCTGACGCGTTGTTATATATATTGTGAAACAGAAACATTAGCAAAAAATTACTGTAAGGCGACTTGGGGCCGCCTTGAGGCCCTCAGTCGGTCTACCATGAACAGAGCCCTGGTGGTAGTCCATGGGTAACGCCATCGGAAGGTCCTGGAATTCCATGGTTTTGATTCATACATAAAAATTTGTCCTAAAATATTCGATGTTCCACTGTGTGCATGGTTTATGAAAGAAAAACTGAGTTTTGACAATACTTTTAGCTCCACTAAATCGGTTTCTTTAAATGCATTTCCAGTATAATGGAGATATTGCATTTTCAACAGTGAAATGCTGCAAATCGTATCATCCATTAAATAAAACACAAATTGCAAAGTTATTTAAAGCTGCCTTTAAAGAAAAGTTTTAGATCTGTATTAACAAAATTAAGGATCAGTGCCCATCCATTGTATATTGAAACGGGCAGATACTGTAAACCCCCTATTCCTAGAGAAAAACGTTTATGCTATTCATGTAAATTATTTATTGAAGATGAAAAACATTTTGTTCTATACTGTTCAAAGTATGACCAATTTAGATGCAATTATACTGATATATTTAATGTAAACACATATACTAGTGATAATCCCATTAGAAAAATTGTCAATCCTACAAATATTACAACTGCTAGAAGGATATGTTGTTTTTTGAAAAAGTGCTTTGACACCAGAAAAGAAAGTCAGCAATGAATACTTAGAGATATGTGAATATACTCTACATTATTTTGTTCAACTCACATTTGTCATTTTGTATATGTATGTATTATTCTTGTTAATTCGTTTTATGTCATGACTGTATGCCGACATGGTAATTGTCAATAAAGTGAATTGAATTGAAATAAAATCGACATTTTTCATAGGTGTTATGTTTACAACAAGCAATGCAAAGTACGACTTCGAATTTTTTAAAATCAATTTACAAAAAATATCAAATTAAATCTTTCCCATTTGACATTCAGAATACCACATTAAGGTTTTTAAATGCACCTACATCCATGACTTCATCGCAATAATTAATAAAAAGACAGGAGGTAGGGACTAAAGAAAAAACAAATAAGAAAATTTATAAACAGAAAATTCAATGTTTGATATGGCATGCGTATATTTCACAAGTGAAATAAAAAAATATATATATAATTTTCATGAGTGCGATATACAACAACAAAACATCGAATACCCTACATTTAAAACGATGTAAAATGCTTGTACATGTATATATTTTTAATATTATCAATTGTTTTGAAATTATAGTACTCGTGCAAGACAGTACATTTGGGTATTAAAATTATCAGGGAAATTAGTAGATAACATATTTAAATAAATTTTCTACGGCTTTAAATTGATATTTTAATGGAAATTGACTTTTAATATCTAAAAAAAAAAAAAGAAAAAAAATGAAAAAAATGAACTGTATCAAAGATCCACATGAAAAAAAAAATGAAAAAAATGAACTATATCAAAGATCCACATAAAAGCTGAAAATTTTATGGTCAATATATATAGGAATAAAAAAATCTGGAAAGTCTTCTTTTTTTTTTTTAATTTCATAATTTTTAGTTTTCATCTATATTATCGAACTTTCAATATCATTTTTTGTCGTTGAAAATTAGGTGTATTTCTTTGTGTTGCTGCGCAAAGGGCGCTACGCCACTACCATCTGCAATATCATATAAAGTGCTCTTCAAATAATGGCATCTTCAATTGTATATTATTGCGAGCAATGATGATACATGTAATAATTTATTGATCAATTTCACAATTTGCGTGTAATAATTGTTCCTCTCGTCGAAGGGTATTAATGAAAGCAACAACTGAAATGATCCACACAATTAATAATTCAATTAAGGATATAGCAAACAATTAAATTATTGAACGCAATAATTGAATTATTATAATTGAAAAATTGGAGACAAAATAGTGAAAATTTTAGACTCTGCTTTATTTTCCATCCAAGTTCAAGTTCAATTTATTCACTCTAACCAATTAATGGTACATGAGGTTCTATGTACAATATATACAAAAACAATATACAAGATACACGTGAAAAAGCGGAAATACATTCAAATTATTAAGTAACAAAAAAAAATAATAATGGAGGACAGACTTGTTCATATACCCTATCTATGTAGCTGCATAGTTTGATTAATACCTTGGAGTTAGCAGTTGACACCAATTCTGAAAATTTGTAGAAATTTGGTCTATTACAATATTTACTAGGTAGATACTTTTTTCTGTATTCTGAGAAAAATTGACACTCTAAAATATAGTGATACTCATCTGCTATTTGTCCATTATTACAGATATTACAGAGTCTATCATTTTTGGGAATTCCAAACCATCTCCCAGTCTCAACTGGGAGACGATGATTTGCAGTTCTTAATTTAATTAGAATTGTTCTAAATTTTTTAGGTAGTAAGTCTAAATATTTGTTTTTCCAAAATATTGCCTTTTAACTAAATAAATGTCTAATTAGAAAAAAACATCTTCTCATCAATTTAGAATTGTTGATTTTACAAGGGAATTTTCAAATTCCCACTTAGCCTGAGTGATTTTTAACCTTTTCTCACCAGTATTACACATTTAAGACGAAATGGGAACACACCAATTATTGTTATCTTCAATCGCATTAATGATATTATTAATCCAATTAACGTCCGTAACAATTCTTTTAGAGAGAGCAACTTTTTAATTAATGATATATATCTTCCATTCAACACATCCACATTTCATATAACGAACTCTATTTTAATTGTTACTATCTTTAAAATGAATTAAGGCATGCAGTAATATTTGAGGTAATGTTAATGTGGCGTTCCACTGGGTCCAAGTTGTTATACATTACCTTGGAGATAATGATTATCTTTCACATGTCGTCCACAAAAATTTTTAGTATCTTCACATACATTTCCATTGCATAGATCATCCACTATAAAATTCACGAAAATTCAATTTTATATATACATATATATATATATATATATATATATATATATATATATATATATATATATATATATATATATATATATATATATATATATATATATATATATATATACATGGCCTGAGGAACCGGGGGGGGGGCACGGGGGGCCGTGCCCCCCCCCCCCCCCAATAATTTTGCCGATATATAGATTACTATAGAAAACATAGATACTATACGCCTGTGCCCCCTCAATAAAAACGTCTGATGCCCCCCTTTTTTTTTTGTCAAGAAATTTTTGGTAGTAGATAGTGCCCCTCAACTGAAAATGTACGGCTGTGCCCCCCCCCCCCCCCCAATTTGAAATTGCTTCCTACGGGCCTGTATATATATATAATATATATTTATATGGATACTGTAAGCGTCAATTAAATTTCATTTTTTTTTTGTCGTTTCCTTTTCAGCTTTTTTAAGATTTGCTAAACAATTTGTTGGTGACACTAATCGAATTTAGAGATGCAAAAATACATGAACGATACTCATTGTTGAAAAGAATAATATCTGGTTAAGAGGATATTCACTGAATTTCAAGTATCCCGACACACTTTCACTCTTTAATTAAACGATCTAGAACATACATTTTATTTACGGAGAGGAACCAGTAAGTTGTAAGAACTTGTTTCCGATCCATTTGCTTATGTCAATAAAATATGTTCAACTTGAGCCCTACTTTATTTAAAATGTTTATAAATGATTTGCCATCATATTTACAAAGTTGTATAGACTCTGTCAAGTTACACTAAAAAAATATAGATTGTTTAATGTATGCAGATGATATAGTAATTTTTTCATCATCACCACAAGGACTTCAGCAAAGATTAAACTCTTTAGAGAAATATTGTGATGAATGGGGTATGATAGTAAATTCTAATAAAACAAAAATTATTATTTTTAATAAATCTGGGAGAACAATTAAACATAAATTTCATTACAAAAATTTCAATATTGAATGTGTATCAAGTTATAAATACTTAGGCATCCATTTCACAGCCTCGGGGACTTTCTCAGTGGCTAAACTTGAGTTATACAAAAAGGGACTAAAAGCGTTCTTCAAACTACGAAAAGATTTCCTTAGCTTAAATCCTGGGATATCCACCAGTCTAAATGTCTTTGATCACACTAGTAAACCTATATTACTTTATGGCTCAGAAATATGGGGAATATTTAATGTT